CTAACATCTCCAATTGTTTTTCTCCTGTTTGGTTTGTAACATCTTGCTCCCAGCATTCTTTCGTCACCATTGACTACCTTGGCTAAGGCTACTGGAAGCTGCAATCCAACAACATCTGGAGGACTCTACAGACTTTATTAACACAGGGAGAATCTATAGTTTATCCTGTACAAATCCCGAAAAAAATGTGTAATTACGCACAACAATTTCACACGACATCACACAAAACTCGTCATTAAAGTGGTCAGAAAGTGGTGTCATCCCGGATCTTTTTACTTTTGGGATTTTAGCAAAAATGCATTTGCAATATTACTGTAATTGCGCATTTACTCTAGTGTGAAAGTCAAATTCATTTTATTCACACAATAATCCTCCTTTCACTCGTTTTTCCGGTTTTCCCATGGTTCTGTGGGGGCTGCTTTTACTTCCTGTTTTGCTGGGGCAACAAACATGCCAGACAAAAGTGTATCCATTCTCATAAAGCAAATAATACAACTGTTGAGAATAGGAAAGATTATAATGGCGAAATAACGTGGAAACACAAAGAAGAAACGTCACACAAGAAATGAAGCAAGGAAGGTTCCTGTGATGCACTAATTATGTATCCCTCTGCGCATGTGCGAGTATACTATTTCTACTTCATATACGGAATTTGTTCACTTTTGTATGAAACACAAAAGCGGGGTTTTTTTTGCTTTTTGTGTTATTACGCGTTTATTCTAATTGCGTGTGATATTAATTTGCACAATTAAACACTATTTTTGCTTTATTTTTGGGATTATTTATTTGCACTTTATTATCTCTTTAAAGACGGAACTGGCCCCCATGTGATAAAATCCTCTGATTCTCACCCTGTGTATATCATGCTACCCATATCTCTGTCAATTTCCTACATACTTATTCATGTCACAGGAATAAGCTAACACCTCCCAAACACTGTCATATTACAACATATTCAAAACATATTTCAAACTTTAACAACATACTTCCCCCACAGTAAGAAAGATAATCTCATGTATTCATATGTGGGCTGGGGCTTGTGTAGACTCCTAAAGACCTTAATCTGCATTGATCTGCTAAATCCCTTTGTGTAGTCACATCATTTCAAAATTAAGGTGGCATTAAGAAGCAATACCACCATCCTTCTTGTGCTTAACATGTGTTTGCCTCCCACAGCATCTCTTATGCCACAGCCACAGGATAAAGTGTTCAAAGCAGCCCTGAAATCCACCTACACATGGAAAAGTTTTGATCTGATTGACATGAGAATGGGTTTAGCCACTAATCTTGGTAATGCCTTCTAGGGAGAAATCTATGAGTGGGTTCTGACAGAAATCTAGGATCCTATCTCATGGTATGTATTTATTTTTAGTTATATCTCATCTCTCCTCCAAGGACCCTAAAGTGACATACAACCACACTATTTTATCATCACAACAGCTCTAGGAGGTAGCTTAGGCTGCATGGAGGTAACTGGTCCATAATCACCTGGTGAATGTCATGGCTAAGTAGGGATTGAAACCTGGGTCCCTCCGTCTTAGACTACCATAGAGTGCCCAAGGCCAGTGCCCCAGTCATTCAATAGTCCATGCTGGCTGGGGATGATGGAAGTTGTAAGGCACTAGATTGGAGAAGGCCACTCTACCTACTAATAAAGGTTTGCTGGCATACTTTTTTGAGAGCCAGCTTGATGTAGTGGTTAGAACAGGGGTAGGCAACCTAAGGCCTGGGGGCCGGATGCAGCCCC